TATATATATATATATGTCTCTCTCTCTCTCTCTCTCTCTCTCTCTCTCTCTCTCTCTCTCTCTCTCTCTCTCTCTCTCTGTGTGTGTGTGTGTGTGTGTGTGTGTGCGTGTGTGTGTGCGTGTGCGTGCGTGTGCGTGTGTGTGTGTGTGAAGTGTATGTGTTGTGTGCATATATATAAAATATAGATACATATTTTTTTATATCTCTATTAAACAAGTCTGGATGAATCCTGAAACGAGAGAAGTAACATCTAGGAGAGTCACGGTTCACGTCAAATTAACATTAAAGATATACTGAGGATATTCCGAGATTCTTTCTTTCCTCTTTAGAATTTCTTCGCGACAGTCGTAACCGCTTTACTCCCGGGTGCACTTTGCGGCACGAGACGAACAGTTATCAGCGATAGATCGAGCATTTTACGCTGGTATTTTTTGTGAAACACCATAGCGGCAGATTGCGTCTTAAACACAATGGTCGCATTACCTTCGCCCATGCGTATATTCTATAACACGAAGAATAGAGAAAATATTGGTTATTAAATTATCGAGTATATATCGTTTATTTAAAATAAGCATAAATCTAAGTAAAAAAAATATATAGTTTTTAAATTGAATGAACGTGTTTTATATACATTTCAGCTGTATACATTTTCGAAATAAAATACAGAATAAAGAGTCAGTATATACAGAGTTCAAGTGTAAGATTTTAATGATTATTTTATAGAATTTATGGATGTTTTACATTAGCTGTATTACGATAAAAATTTATATGCTTTGTTAATTTTTAAACTTCTTAATTACATTTTATACACGGAGAAGAAAATAATACTGAGAAAATGATATAAATTACACACACACACACACGCACGCACGCACGCACGCACGCACGCACGCATACATATACACAAATTATATAAAATTATATAGTAAAATTAATAATTTCACTTTAATATATAATAATTATATAATTTATACATATATATTCAATATATTGGAATCAGTATTTTGATACCAAATATATTAACATCATGTGTATACAATACATAAAATATGTAAAAAAAACAATATATTATTAATATTATAAAAGTATTTTCTTTTCCAAATAATTACATAGGAACATTCATATATCCCAACATCATATAGATATTATATTTTCTAATGAAACTATTAAAAAAATATAATTGTTGCATCATGTCAGAAACTTAATGGATGGAATAAGTTTATGATATTTATATTTTGATATTAATAACTCGATATAAAACAAATGCTTTATAAAATAAAGAAATATTGATGTATTATAAAAAATAAAATACTTATTTCTAATACATATTTCTTTGGAATAAATGTAATTATAATACATATCTTTGGAATTAACAATAGTAAATTAAAAACTAAGGACAACAGATCAAACATAATATATTTGGAATAACAGTCTAAATTTATAAATTGTTTATGATGAAATGATATCTCGTCTCTTTCTTATGTCTACGATATTTTCGAATAAAATGTTTTCTATATAGAAATATCTATGTAAAGAAAATATAAGTAAAAATAAATCATGGCCTTTTGAAGAAATGAACTTAAGAGAAATAAATCTTGAGAGACAAACATAAACTTTGTATTTTTCATAAAAATGAAAGAAGTGATATGAAACATGCATGATAAATAATGGAAACTAATACAAGTAAATGTGCCAAGTGAATATTTTTCATGTAAATATAGTCACCTCAATAGTTCCGATGGCTTGACACATACGTCTGATTTGGGCCTCAGACGTGCTTGCGGCTAAGTTTTCTAATTTAACTGTGTTTGTCTTTATGTCAGGTAATTTTTTCGCTTGTATTGCAGATTTCTGCAGCACAATTCGCTGAGAATTTTGTTGCGCACTTGTGGCTTTTTGAATATAGACATTCGCATTATCATTGATCACGGTTTTCTGTAGACCACTCGATGCTTTATGCCCCATTACTCTCTGATTAATGATTGATGCTTTTGAACCGACAATCGTCGATTTTTGTAATGCATTACTCTGATTCTGCAAAACTTTCTGAGTCTGTATAATCTGCACATTAGATATTTTCTGCTGTAAATGATTTTTTTGTAAATTGGAGACAGTTTTTTGTATCGTGGTGGCAACTTTTTGCGAATTTAATAGAGGTTTCTGTATCACAACTCTTCGCATGCCAGATGGTTGTACTACTTGTCTCGTTTGTACAATATCAATAGCTTGACTGGTCACTTGTCCGGAATTATTTTTTGAGCCACTCGTATCTGATAAATCGTTAGTTTGTATCGTTCTGATAATTCGCATATTAGATGGTCTGTCTGCTGCCTATAACAAAAACATATATTTTAGAAAAATATGTTATGCAGAAGATGATTCTTAATCATTTTATTTAAAAAATATATTAATAATATAAAGATAATTTTAATTTTAATGCATATTTCAAACAATAAAAAAATTTTTTTCAATTTAAAAAATTTAATGAACTTTA